AACGTAATTAGAGAAACAGAATTACAATGGAAAATGTTTTTTCCTAACAAGTGTAATGAAAAGCACTAAACTTTATATTTTACATATTCGTTTGTGCCGTATACAATCTGCGCAATTTTGCATTTCCAAATTTCCCATAAATGCATACAAATCCGCAGTATCAATCATAAACCAGCAACCGCGTTTCGCCAAGCCAAGGAATCAGAAAACTCCCCAAAATAAAATTCGCGTCCACGCGTCACAGGATCGCGCTGCGTTCGTGCAGAATCATCGCGAGGTAATAGCGATCGATAGCAGCGTAATGGCGTGCGATTCCAAATTATTGGATCGTCCCGTGTTCTCGTCAGCCCTTTGATCCGGGACTCGTTACGCTGGCAAGTTCGTTGTCCTACTTTCAACCCTCTCCTCAAGTCCGAAGGTTGAACGTCTGAGCTCCTTCTGGTCCAGCCTGTACCCTTCCGATCCTCGGCGAAAGAGTTTCACCGGGGAGAAAGACGAGCAGGAGGGGGAGACGAGGAGCCACCGGAGGAGGGGTTGAGAGGAACCACCCCCACGATCAATACAGTAATGACGCCCCGCGCCCGGCGATGTTACTATGCTAAGCGTTCCGCTGTTTTATGTCCGCGAATATACTGCAGCCCGAATCTTCAGGGCTCTTTGAACTCGACCCAGCGTGCAGCGTCTCTTATCGGAATTCACCCTCGTCTTTTCCCGTTTTCTTCGCCCGTACCCGACTCAGTGGTGCTTAACTCTTTCAGCGCAGAATTTTCAGTTCGTATATTCTACGATTTTTGTTTTTGGATTGTGTATATGTATGCAATGACATAGTACGTGTCAACGTTCCATAAAAGTTAATATCTTTTTTGTACTGTAGAAAATATTAGGTGTAGGGTGGTTGCCATTAGGCAGTAACGATCGTACATTTTCTAGAATTGTAGATTTTATTTGTTACGGAAACTGCAGTTTGACAGAATTTGGGAATACATTTTAATATTTGTTTTCGTGGAATTACGAGTTTCGTTTGTTACTGAGATGATATGTATATTAATATTAATATGAAACCAGTGAGCCCGGCTGTAATGATGGAATTTTAAAAGGTGGTATTGCTGCGATACCAGTAAGCTTGAAAGGGTTAACACTATATTTCGGTTTTAAAATTTGATTTAGAATTCTGTGTTTCGTTTTTGTCATTTAACTTTATGTTAGTTTCATCATAATTTTTCAATGTTTGTCTTTCGTACTGCTTCCGCTATGGGAAATTTATCGTTTAACTTGTGTACTTTTATTTTGTAACCAGTCATTCGACTGGTTACTTTAAGAATATGTGTACACACAGTGCGTTTAGTGTTAATACACCTTACAGCAGTGCTGAAGAGATCGAGGGAAGGGGAAGAACGCGTTTCGCACGGTATCATTGTTAATTAAGGCTGACGCTGGCCGAACGATACGTGAAGTAGGTTCGATGCGCTGTTCCATTTGCATTATTTATGACGTGCGCCAGCCGTGAGGAGAGTCGCCGATCGGGGAGATTCTAATCGGTTCGGGTTGAAAACGCATTGTGCATCGGGCACGGGATGCCGACGCCTTGTGAATTTCAGCTGAAATAAGCCAGATATTGATTTAAATGTATTAGACCGCGTTGAAAATTAATGCGATATTTTGGTAGATGGAGTTCTGTGGCAATTGTGTTTCGTCGGATGTGCTGATTCCTTGGGAGTTCGTGCTTCGAATTGCTTTTGTACGAATTCAATTTGAATTTTATGGAATAGTATTTCAAAAATGTGTACAGTATTTTAGGATTCTTTTCATGGAATTTTTGAGAGCTGTAACGAGCGTATTTGAATTATATTATTGACATCATTGAAAATATTAAATTTTTTTCGACGTTGTTCATGTTTCAGATAAAATTGAATAACTACAATTTAATAGATTTCCAATAAATATTCACTAACATCGAAACTTTTAATTTAAATATTGTTCGTTCAGCATTTATGAAATTCTCTCTTCTGTGGAAAATACAATGGGTATTCAAAGTTTATATAAAGAATGCATACAGAAGCATCACACGATTATCGAACAAGCTGAAAATAGAACCTGATATTAAAAAGAAAAATTTCCATTATATTGTCGTTTGTCATAAAAGTTTGCTTTCAAGAGCGCAAAACAAATAATGTCAGATAAAACCCCCGCGTACAAGCACAACAGGCACCAAGCCAACCAAACTCTCAAAGCGCAAAACCCATGATAATTAATAATCGAATCCAACGTCAAAATGATCAAACAGATTCTACAAAAGCGCGGTGTCTCCAAAAATAAACGAAAATTGTTCAGCGGAACAATTTTAATAGAGAAGTCCGATAAGCCAGCTCGTCAGTGTTGGCTCACGTTTTAACCCGTACGAGCCGAGGAACGAATTCCAGCGTAATTTCCATAACTTTCGAGCGGGCAGGTCATATTTTATCTGCGCGAAAGGCAACGGAGATGGAGTAGCGGGAGAATGTCACGCGAGCTTCATCCCCGGCAAATAGGCTCGGTAAAAATGCGCTAGCCGATCAACATTTACAACGAGCTGGTGTTGATGCCCTCGGCCCACCTTCAAACTTCTAGGGCTGAGGGCCGTGAGTCCGTTCTCCTCCTCTCGTGCGGTTCTCCTCCGAGCGAACGATAAAGCGTCTCCTTTTTACGGGCAATGAGGCGAAAAATTACTGACCTCCTCCCTTCCCCCGGCGCTAGCTTGCCGGGAGTCACCTACCTCGCTGCACCCCCTATACGATTTTCCAATAACTCGTTTACTACCCTGCCCGGCTTCCTGCCCCACGCTCTGCCCGGGCTCTTCAGCAGTCTCATCACGTCATCGACCCTCCAATCGCTGACACGACATCTATATACCGACGCTCCAAGTGAAATATTTTCTTGGTGTCCTTTGAACGTTACCCTTTAGAAAGACGAGAATCGGGCTTCATCAGGAGAACCTTCTATGCGGCGTTAACTGTACGGCTGCGATCACCGCTAGCTGATCAGAGGCCTTCGAGACAATTGTGTTTTTCTTTGCGGAGTGAAGATGAAGGTTGTTTGAATTTGTTGAATTCGTTGTTGGGAAATTGATCGTGGGGTTTCCCGACATTTGTGGGACTTGAAATTTTGCGGAAGTGGTTTGGATGTTGGGGAGTACATGTTTTATAGAATAGACTTTGTATTTATTTGTACGCCTGATGATATCGTGATTGTATGAATATTACGATTGTTATTTATAACGAATTTAATGTTTATAGCTTTGTCGACTAATCGTGTAAGCAAGGGCTTGGAAGAGTTAGAAACGTTAGCTTAAAATTGCCATTAAAAAATGAATCCTTTGAATCTAATGAGATTTCCTCGTATCGTCACAATAAAGAATATTTTTTTCCATTAGTCAATGCTGTGGTAGTTTTGAATTGAAAATCTGTTTCATATACATTAGTTGTATTCAAATCTTACAACAAAGATATATTTTAAAAAATTGACCACTCTTACAAATAGGTAAAGAAATTGACACAATCAAAATTAAACCTATTATATTTTGAATTCTACATTATCTGCTTTCATTTTATCGAGTTTATGATTAAAAGCATTTCAACTTATGGCATACGACGTAAGAATGCCCATCAAACCATACATACAAACATCTGCTCGCAAAATCCACAACTTTCCGTTCCATCAGACCACGAACCAAATTAGGTTCGATTGATGATTTCCATCAAAAACTCGCCAAAAATGTGCATTCCACGCGCAAAGCGACAGACCTAATTCAATAACCTCCGCGACGCAGCAGAAGAAGTTGTCCCAACCAAAGGCTCCCCACCCCCGTCGCCTTTAATTTTCCCGACGGATCCTTGGTCCATTCTAACGGAAGGTCACGGTCGTGAGGAATAAACCCAAAGTAGGTCTGGAGCACGGCGACTAAGGGGAAAGGAGACGGCCCGCGCGGCGAGGAAAAGGCAACGACGGCTGGACAAGCTAGAGGGAGACAGGGAATAGTTCCAGTTAATTTT